CGTCCGGAGTGAGCCCACGGTCTCTCCGATGTAGTCATTATGTACAAAACTGCACCGGACCCGGTAAACGACTCCAGCTGTTTCCTGTCGTGACACTGAGTCTTTCGGCTTCATGATCCGGTGGCTGATGGTTGGTTTCGGCTTGTATGCAACTCTAAGTAGAGTGAGGAGGCGGCTGACTACTTCTAACAAATTCTTCACGTACGGAAGAGCTCGTCAAACTTTTGGGTCGGCTGATTTGGTCTCCTGTATCGTTTGCTTATACGCTGACTGACAAAATTGCGTAGGCAGCCAGTCGCCCTCAGTACCCATCGAAAATATTGTAATTCAGCAAGTTGGCTTCGATTTCGCTGCAATACGTCTCACCGCGCTGGTATAGCGCTCTTATGCAACTGCGTTTGCGACCGATTGGGGTGGTTGCTGTCGCAATTCAGAACTTGCATAATGTTGATAGTTTTCCGGTGATACGCATGCGGTCGCGTGGCCGCTACAGGGTATAAATACTGCGTATTTGTGTGCATTTATCAAGCTACTCCGCGGTTATCTCTGTTGAGGGGTTCAAACCAGAATCCGAGACGTCAGGCAAATAAACTTCTTCCCCCAGCAATCTCTGCTTCCTGGAACTCGCCTGTTCGCTTTTATCAGCAATTGATGCTCATATTCTCTGACAAAATGTAAATTAACCTAGAGACGAATGTGTCTGTCAGTTTAGGAGGAAGCACGGGAAGGTGAGTTGCCCGCCAGCCTGGCTGCTGGCTACCCGGCGCGTCCATCAGTGGCGAATAGTGGAGTGGCCTCCAGTGAAGGTTAGCTGCGAAATGAGCAGACTCAGATCTGGCAAATAAGTAGTCGCGAACCAGCGTCTACAGTGCTACCAGGGTGCGGCGAGCTGAGGTCTGGCACGCCAAAAGCCTATAAAATTTCATGAAGCCCGACGACCGCACTGCGACATGGCGACCGTGAACCACCATTAAATTCATTCGCTTGCCACCGCTGCCTTATGGTGAGACTATTAAGCCAAAAAGCCAGAGGAGACAACCTCGAGCAACCAATTCGAGCGGCTGTTGAGGACCCTCCATACTCACAACTCCCAAGAAACCTCGTGAAACCTGAAGTACGAGTAGTCCGCTAATTGGTTCCATCGTTTTATTTAGGCTGGTAGTTAAAACCAGATGCCAATACAAACTGACTTTTTGATAGTGCTGTTTTCCGTGACCTTTCATTAATAGGCTTATAATTGGTGTTCAGCCTGACTTCTAAGATACCTTTTTAATACTCTGCTGTTTCGACTTCCTTAGAGTACACGTCTTTCCTCTT